ATGATGATCTATATATATGTCTTAAATTTTGTGTTTAGTTTCTTATCTTTAATAAGTTTAAACTTTTTAATAAATTTAAAGTTTTTGATCTCTTATCTTATATTAAAAAAAATTTTAACTCTTAAATTTATAGGTTTGAAAATTTTTACCTTTAAATTAATAGGTTAATTTTTTATTAAACTGATAATAAAATATTTACATTATTAGTTTTTAAAATATTTTTAAAAATATAACAATTTAGTTTTAACATATTAAACGTTAAAAAATTAATAAATAAAAAAGAATTAATAGATGGCCTTTTTGCTTACATTAAAATAGTATTAGATATTTATAATCAAATTGAGTGATTAAATTACATATTATTTTTTAATTTAAAATTAAAGGTAAAACAGTTAAATTTTTTTTTTTTTAATTTTAATACTTGAACCTATTAAAGTATGTTATATCTTTATGAGTGTGACAATTAAAATCCCACAAAAAAAAATGAGTGTAAATAATAATTTAAATATATTAAGACCCATAAAATTACTGGATTAATCTTTTAGTTTATAAAAAAGGTAAAATAGGTTTAAGAAAATCAACGACTATTGTTCCAGTTTCATTTCTACTTTCTCTGCATTCTTCTATTTACTGCCCCATATTTTCTAAGGTAACTCGTAAGCTTCATGTTCGCATGAGTTTACGAATGGTTGGATCACCATTTTTCTTCTCAACTTTAACTTTTGGATTACCGTTTTTCTTCTCAACTTTAATTTTTTTCTTTTTCAACCTTGCTTATTTTTATTAACTTACCATCTTATATTGTATTTTTTAATTTCTACAGATTATTGCATCATTTTGATAAAATCTACTGCACTTTTCTGTCTCTTAGAAGCAAAAGTTTCACACCAGCAGGTATAATTTTTTATTTAATTCTTATATATGTATAAGCTTTTTTTTATATATATACTTTTGTCTATTAACCTCTTTATTACAGTAATTTAAAATTTTACCTTACATGTAATGAAAATCTTTTATGCAGCTAGAAATTCCGAGCAATCTGTGGAGAAGCGTTTCAGTAGGCCCCTCCCTTTGCTGCTTCAGGAAAAAAAAAAAAGAGAAAAAATTGGGCATATCCCTTTCTGTTTTCATTTGAAGGTTATTCGGGGGAAAGCACTAGCCATTTAAGCCAGGTAGATTTTTATCTTTCAATTAATTAATTTGTACAATTGATTTATGTTGCATTCATTAAATCTGCACATAACAATACACACACTAACTTCGGAGTCTAGATACATAGTAGTCCAAAGCCAAATCCTCGTCTTTTTTTTAATCTACTTCTTAACGTTTCTTTGTTAAGCAACCTAGAAAAAAGGGTTTCCTAACTTGTATAACCACCGGGATTGAGTTTTCAAGTTCTAATTTTTAATCTCGACGTTTAATTAGCATACTCAAACAAAAAGATTAAATAATTTACTAAAATTAAAATGTAAAAGACAAATATATCAAATAGAGGAAGATTTTATTTGAAGGAGTATAAAGGAAACTACAACTCATGCTGGTGTGGATACATAATTGAGGCACAGAGTATAATAAATTATGCACCACTAACATGCTGCCGCAAATCATAATATATATTTTTCAAACAGCTGCTTGTAATATTAAAAAAATCTATTTATAGACTTATTTCAATCTCTTTATCAACAAATATCAGTTGTTTTATCCATTATTGTCAGATTTAATTGTCTCAATTTGATTTTTTTATGAGATTAGATGATTTTATATAGCAAATAGATGATAATAGATGATAATTAATTTTTTTAATACATAGTTCTTATTAAATATTTTTACTTAGATCAAAGAAAATTTTTAATTATCATTTATTTATTTTTAAAATTATGGAGTTCATTTACATAAAGTGAAAAGATTAAAACAATTAAAAAAGACCAGAGAAAGTATTAATTAACAACTACAACTATTTGTTGCCTTTCAAAAAAAGAAGGAAGAACTACAATTATTTTTTGTTTTTAATAGTTAAATCAAAACAAAATTAATGTTTTTAAAGACAATATTCAATAATTTGTATAACCTTAATATTTTATTGTGTGATAATAATCATGTCCTATTTTGCCATTTATTTTTTAGAAAAGTCAAGTTTTTATGTGTCTGATACATTTTTTCAAATTTATCCTTCTACTTTCTTCATCCAAGACAGTAGTTCTCATTCAACATTTTAACTTTATATATACAAACTTTATATAAAAATTTAACCACATAGAATTATAATTGAATTTTTTTTAATATATGTAGTTCTTGTTGGTAGTTTCATTTAATCATAAAAATTTTTAATTGCTATTTATTTATTATATTAAATTCTCATTTAAACAAATGACTTATTATTTCAAATGAAAGGAGCTTGGTATCTTTTAAGCAAAAGTTTAAGCAAAACTCTAAAATTCGAATTTTATGAATGAAAGATAAGTGATTTGAGAGTTTTTCTTTATATGACACAATTTTATTTCAGATTAATTTGACTTAATGTAACTTTTGAATATCAAACGTTTAATAAAAAAAGTTCTCCTTTGAAACTCATGTTCATAAGATTAAAAAAAAAATTCAAAATAAGACAACTAAAATTTGATCCTTTTAGCGGCAAAAGGGCAGATCAGACCCTGTACTTAAAACAGAAACTTTAAAATCCTCTTAACTCTTCTAATGGTGGCAAATGAACCCTATTTCTACAGATTATTTCCGAAACTGTTATCTCTCCGTTTATGGTTGCTTGGCTGGCAATTTTTTTTCCCTCCTATTTCAGTGATTAGCCGTTGATGATGAGTTCAATGAAAAGTAATTAATTAATACTATTTTATAATTAAATAATTAACCATTGAAAATAATTTTAATTATCTCTAATTAAACCAAAAAATGGAGGATGTGGAGAGAATGGAATGGGTTTCGGTTCTGTTCTTCGGGTTCGGTTTTTTTTTTTTTTTTTTCTCAATGGCATGTTTTGTAAATTAGGAGAGATAAAAGGGTTAATTGAGGGATTAACTAGAGCTACAAATGAGTTGCCCATTGTCCATGGACAGTTAGCCAACAAAAAAAAAAAAAAAGCTACAAATGAGTTTTTTGTTTTTTAT